AATTTAAAAAAAAAAAAGCTAGAGCTTTCACGAGCAAACTATATCTACAGATAATATATGCAAACCTTTTTGATTCAATAATTTGAAAAATATGAGGTGAGGTTCTTTTCGCTCCACCCGCTCCAATGAACCAGAAATTCAGAGATTAATGGCACGATATCTCACCAAAATTGCTCGTAGATTGTCACGCCTAATTAAAATCTTTTAGTGAAGGTAATTTCCATAGAATTTTTATGTTGATGATTTTAAAGATGTGAATTTTTCCCTCATGGAGGTATTAAGATGCCCTAAGTAAAATTGAGAATTAACTTATATTCTGAGTGCATGGTCAGCATTTTTATCTCGATAAAATCTAAAACTTCAAAGTATTTAATCAAATAGAATGATAAGTTTTTACTACTTTCCCCACCCTTCTGCCTAAAATTATTATACTTTTTTTTCTTAAAAAATAGTCGGAACAGTGAGAAACCTTGCACTTTGGAAAATAAGAGATCGAACCTTATTAACCCAGTTCAACTATACGCCAAGCATAGGTGCCCTTTCCATTTCTTTAATAGGTATAATATAGGGTGTTCCGCTAGAAAGTGAGTAACAGGCCTTCGGGTATGCCCTGCATCCTCATCCCTATTTCTAGGGATGAGGGGGGGGGATAATTTTTAAGAGCCACGTCAGCGCAGAGCCTTCATTTTTTAGGGGCTTGACTGATTTTTTAGGCGCATTTGGCGCCTGTAAGTTTCAAGCACTGCTCTTGGCAATTTCCGCATAGCCCACCCTCGAAATTTTCATGGGGAAACCTTTATTTCGGCACTTGAGCTGATGACACTGCTGGAAGAACCGAAATCTATGGTACTTGTTAAAATCAATTTCGTAACGACAACGCGTAACTGAGGCGCGTGAGGAATGAGGATGCAGCCGACGAAAAGCGAGAGCTTATCCACCACCCCAAGACAGCCCCAGCTTTGGATACCCCTTGCGAGTAGTTCGCAGGCAATCCGGCAGACAGCAGCACAAAGCAGCGCCACTCCAAGCTCACATCCGCGGCCGACCCTTCGCGGTCGCTCTCAATGCATCCCTGTGCACAGCCTGTGCCCGAGAACAAAATTACTCGTGCATCCCTCTTAAAACAGTACATTGCTCAAGGAAGGAAATATAATTTGATTTCTTGAGGTTAAAAAAAACTAAAAAAAACTGAACAAGTTTATTCAATTTTTTTTCTCGCTGTCTATTTTCTCACCCTCTTATTTTTTTATGGCGCTTGTTGTTTTTGTTTTTCATTAAATTAATTATAACTACCTAATTTGCAAGTAATCCTGTAGATACAAAAAATATGAAAACTGAAAGTAGCAAACATTTTTCTTGATCACAGGTTTATTTTGATATTTCATTCAAGCTGACGTGTTTAACTTTTAGAGAATAATGACAGGGAGAGGATCTTGGCAAAGTAATGTTACATTTTATCAAGCGCATAAGTTTTTATCAGTTCTGAAACTTTTCATAGCTTTAGTTTTTATACATTACTCACCTAATGAAGTATTCTTCCGAAATAAATTGAAATAAAATAAATGAGTTGTATGGTCTAAGGTCACCAAGTAGCATGTGGTGGTGATGTGTTCCGATACTAAATAGGCGATGTAAGCGGTTGTATTTCTTTTAAAAAGATTTGATGATTGAAGCAAAATTTTAAAAAATTTTGATTGGATCGATGCATTTGAACGCCAAAATTGGCTGTTTTTTTTTTCTCTTGCCAGCAGTAAAAATATTGTCCAAACGACATTTTCAAGGAAGAAAATATTCATGACTTATCTTGAAAAGGTAGCATTACAATGCATATTCATGATTACATTTTTTGCGAATCTATGGAAAAACAAGTAAGACCTTAAAATACAGAAGAACGTGTCAGATTGAAATGGTTGAAAGATAAAAATCACGTGAAAGTATTGCAGCCACCGAGTGCAAACTCTTCTTTTCCCAAGGTTGCACTAGATAAAAGTCATGACAGAATTATGAATACTTAAATGTTTAAGACGTGATCCAAGATGAGCACCAATGTTATGATACCTCCAATCTTAATTTTCAGAAACTATGAAGTTACGTATTTTGCAAGTAAGAACTTCATTGATGTCATATTAAGACACACATTTACTCAAAATGCATTCTCAGGTCTTGTAATATTTTTTAAAATTCTGCGAATGTAAATCTACTCGGCAGGTAAATTAATATTTAAGCATTCGAAATATGTTTCACGATAAATAAATACACATTCTTAAGACATATACGGGGGAGAAATTTTAGTTTTGAAGACGGTTTTACATCTCAAAAATGATATGAAATCGGAAGGAAAGAAATCCTCGATGTCCTCGGAGATTCTACAATTTTCAACTCAGTCTTAATCAAACGTCGAAACACATCCTAAATATCGAAATTGTGACTTGCAAATGGCTCGTCATTTCAATTTGTAATAAAAGCGTATCGACGAAATCAGTTAATTATTTTTGTGATTTTCGCACCTTGGGTTAAAAAAGTCAACCGCCGGAAATACAATTTTTTGGATTCAAAGTCCAGACTCTCATAAAAATCGCCAAGACAAATTTTCTCAATTCAGTGGATTTCTGCTTGAATCAAGAACCAACTCTCCTGATTCAAGCGATTTCCTTTTGATTCAAGCAAAAATCCGTTTGAATCAAGGATATTTTTTCGAGTCAAATTTTTTCAGAATCTAAACTCTGAATCAAAGAGTCTTTTTTTCGCAGTCATTCAAAAATCAAGTCAATAAATAAAAAATGCCAATCCCTCCACAAAATTTTCCCGCATAAAATTTTTGGTTCCTTACTGAAAAATGCAATCTCCAAGACGAAACTCTGAATTTTTAAAAAACATATATTTTAATGTTTGCATACAACGTCAATTTTATATCGTAAATATACAACGCAAGCAAAACGCCTTTTTCGAAGTGCGAAAAAATCAAGTGATAGTCGATCCCTGTCCGAGCAGAGATAAGCAAATTTCGGCAGGGCTCCGAAGGGACTGCGAGCCGCCACGAGCTCCGGCGTTAAATACCGCAGGGACAGACGTGTGGAGGCCACGCGCCATGGCGGGACGCGAGCCGCGTCCAAGAGGGTCCCACCTAAGAATGGAAGTCCGAGCCGCGAGCTGCGAGGTCCGTAAGTCGGAAGGGACGTAAGGCTTATTGTCTTACCCAACGGCCACCCCTCCCGACTCGCAACCCCTCGAACTTCCCCTGTTTTTTCCTTACCTCCCCCCGCCCCGAGTCTTATCTCGCCCCCCGCCACCCCGCCCGAACTTATTTCCTACTTTCATTTTTCTTCCACCCTCTTTCTCTCTTTTTTTTTCGGGCGCGATTAACGCATGGCCTCACACCAGTCCCGCGCCCCGATCGGCCCGGTGCATTTCCATCGGGTGTTTTTTTCCGGCACCGCAGTGTTTGGATTTTTCCCGCGAGCGTGTTACGGTGCGAATGGCGAGGATCTGCGTTTTCCGGGTAGGATGTGAAGTAATCCGCGTGCTATTTTTCTATGTTTGTGTTTCACCTGCGGCCCCCACGCTGCATTTTCAGCCGCAGCGGTTTTTTTTGTCGCCGGTTTACGAGCGATTGATTTCACCGCCGACCTCGGGTTCCCACGTGTTGCGAATTTCAGTCTACGGTTTTTTCTATTCTTTTTTCGTACTTTTTTTTTGAATAATTTAATAATTTACAGTAGACCTAGGAGGGAGGGGAGAACTTGTGAAAAATTCGCAGTCAGGAATATTTTTATTCATTCATCCGAGTAGAGAATCAGGGTGGTCGCGTATTGAGGGCCATTCAGATATTTTTTTTTAAAAAAAATACATAAATAAATAAATAAAATGGAAAATAAAATGGCAAAATGTTCCTCAGCGAAACAAAAATTTCTCCCAAGTTTTAAACGTTGAGATCTCTCAGAATTATTATATGTGTAAAACTATAACGCGAGCATGACCCCCACAAAATTCTAAAATTACTCAATGGCATTTTCGCATGTAGAACGTTGTTATAACAGCTAGAAAGCATATCAATTCCAGTTTATTTTTATTTGAAAATTTTGGAGGTTGAAGAAGTGCCCTTCTATGGAGAGGCAACCAATATAATTTTGATTTGTACATCATAGAATTGAATCACATCCACAGGAAACTATACAGCCTAATTATTCTTACATTAGTAGAGATCGACCAAAGTAGCGAGCAATGAGCACCTCAAGGATCGTATCGAAAGTCGCGCCGCTAATATCTCAAACGGAATGCAAAAGTTAGTAGAGCAGATTTTAAAATTCCAACGAGGGAAGGGGTGAGGGGGGGAGGGGTGCAGAGAAAAGACGAGAGTGAAAGTGCAAGAGTTCCCAACGCAAAGAAGTAAAGAAGCGGCTGAAAAGCACTTTGCACAGAAGTCAAGGGAACTGCACTCCTATAAAGGACGAGAGCAAAGGAAGGGACACCCCGGAATCGGCCTACTTTAAAACGAGAGTGCAAGATGCATAAAATCCGAGTGCTGATAGACGATACCGGAAAAAGAATGCAAGGAAAGAGCGAGAAAGCCCCGCGAGAAAGCAGCGGCGGGAGCGAGACGGAAAGAGAGCGAGGGGCGAAAGAATAAAGAGTATCATTAGAGGAAGAGGAACGGCCGGAAAAAAAGTCGAAGGGGAAAGGGCTGGACCATTTTTTCCAGGGCATTTTTTTTCAACCCCTTGGAAGGAGTCTTGGTGGTGGGGTGGGCGGAGGGTGGCGCGGCGGGGGCGGAGTGAAGGCGGAAGGGACGCGGTGGAAAGTCTTAGGTGGAAAGTGGAGGGGAGCGAGACGCCGGCGCAGTGTTGTAAGGAAAGTATCGTAAGGGAAAGCACAGAAGGGACGCGGAGCGCCGCGCCGCGACCCTGGCGGCGGGCAGCTTTTTCTAAGAGATGGAGCGAGAAAGACGGAAAAGTGCGAGAGAGAGGAGTTTAAGAGGGATTCCTCGCGTCTCTTTTCAATTTTCCTTCGGAAAAGGACCTCTTTCTAAGGGATGGCGAAGACGCCGACGCCTCTCTCAGTCCGCGTCGGGACGCTCGCGTATACGCTTCTTGCCGAAAAGACGCCGCTTTTTTTTATCACCCCGCAGCCCGGTCTCGTTTTCCGATGCCCGCGTCTTTCGAATTTTTTGCCGCGTTTTTCCATTCCGCCCCCGTATAAGTCCCCTTACTTTAGCTTACCACCTCAGTCGAACGTGTTTCTTAGACTTGAAACTATCTGTACCCCACCTCAAGGTACCTCCGCTCTGCTACTCCTTAGCTTTACCTTAAGATTTTCCTTCATTTTCCTCGATTGTTTCTCCGGACTTAGTGCAATTTTCGTCATGTTCCGCTTCCGTCACTTATATTTTCTCCGCTTTTCATTTTTGTAATTTTCAATTTTTCAATTTTTATTTTAAATTGGTGTTTACATTTTTTTATATATTATTACAAACCTCTCGAATATTTTCAGCAAATATTTTATCTTAATTAATTGAAATGTTCATCGTTCTAACGCGTTGTGTTCTGGTGTTTTAAGTGAATGTTCACGGTTTTTAACGTCGTGAAGTACACCCCACCCAAGGATTTATTTTCTCATCACCAATTTTTCATCAGCCTACCACGGATGTTTGAAAAAAAAGTTCAGCTTTCTTGAAAGTTTAAAATAAAAATCGGATAAATTAGAGATTTTGTTTTTGTGCCGTTTTTGTTCAAGTGTTCATGCGTCTTGGAAATCTCACTCTCGAATGTAACGATGAAATTTTATTTTAATTTATTTATCTACCTGTTTATCAGTTCCTACATTCGCATGGTTTATAATTCATTATTTTTCAAATTTGTGTGACGTCCAATCTTTGGATTACAACTTACCTTGCTCTACGAGTGCTTTGGTGGACTTCAAACATAATTTTATCTCTTTACGTATGAAAATGTAGAGGAAAACCATAAACAAAAATAGTGCATACATTTTAAAATCAATTAAAATAAGTTTAGTTCCGAGCAATTCTAAAACACAAAAATACACATTGAAAATTATAAACCGGTATCATTCTGTTGATGACTACTTCTGTTCTACATCATTAACAAATTTTGAAATTAATCTCACAGTGAACTATGATAAAGACAGAGAGGACGGATGACTGCTCAGACGATGCATAACGGGTTTATCAGTTTTCTAAAAATTATTTCAAGAACCTAATTTCTAAAGATAAAGTTTCGAGTATGTAGTTCTTTCAATAATTATATTTTTTACAGAGTATGCACATTTTTCAGTTACATTTTCTCCCCGTAATACTCTTCAAATATTTTTCAGCGTAATGATGGAGATTCATTCATGATTTTTCAAAATTGTGAAAAAAATTATTGCCCGTGATTTTCATGAACAAGTACTTAAAATAATTCCTCGGGACAAAATATTTCAATTGATGGTAGATAGTCATTTTCGGAGCTGTTTAAACCATTTATCAAACGCTTAGCTCCTAGTTTTTTTCAATGCGCGTATGGATAGAAGGTGAAACTTACTTTGTTAAATCTGAGGATAAAAAGGTCCGAAAAAGCCAATTACATATCATTTTAGCTTAACCATGAACACATAAAAGCATTTTGTATTTTTACGTCTATTCTTGGATTTGCTATTTAAATAATCTTATCCGTCTCAAAAATGAAGGGCATAACAGGATTCGTGAAACGGTGAGGAAATAATGATCTACAGGAAAAAATAATGACGGTTTTTGAACATTCTAAATCGCCAAAAAATACATCTTTCCTTGAACGGTTGCTGGAATTGAGGTCCATATCCGAATGGTGTTCTTCATTTCAGTGCCTTAATAAATCTGAAATGCACTCTGGAAGATGTGTTCTTAAACTATAGCTGTATTCACTAATTTTTATGAAATTTTTCGAATTTTAATTCAATAATTGAATATCCGAACTCTACGTATTGAAATAATGAATGACAATTATGATTGTGGGAAGGAACATAAAAAAAAATCGTTCACGTGAGTTTTCTCCTGCCTTGTATTATTGCGCAAATATTCCGTGTTCAATTTGATCAAAATGAGTTTTAAATTGTTGACATGTTTAAAATTATAATTGGAACAAATTTAAGTACAGAAAACCATTAGGGCATCAAATATCAAAAAATCAAATTGGGCCGCGAAAAATTTTCCTTCGGCTTTGTTCACCGAAAAAATAGCAAACCTTTTTCAAGTGCGTATATGGGTTGGTGCGTGGCGATTTAAAGCTTCACAGAATTGTAAACTCACGTTCTAGCAACAGAATAAACTAAAGAAACAACTTACTCGTGCACGTGACGATAATAATGTGGTGTCATCAACAGAGCAAACATTATTTCTAGGATTAGTTTTAAAAAACATTTTAATTCTCGCGGACGCCAAATTTTCTCCCCGCAGTATATCAAATGGTCAAATGAGAGTCCTTTCATGAAATGATAGATCTGGCGATTTATCAACTTTTAACTTTGTCATATTTTAACAACCACTTAAAATTAACTTTTCTTGTCTGTCTCTTTACAAATGGATGTCTACCGCGAATCGACACTCCAGAAATGATTTTGTGCACGGCCGATGATAGGAGAGGAGGTTTCAACGCATCCGTCGACGGGATTACGATTGCGTCCATTTCGTGCAACGGAGTATGCACAGTTTGAGATGCAGCATAGCACAAAATATACTGCCTTTGGAAGAATGTAGAATTTTTTTTTATTGTTTCGTATCAACTGCATGCTTTACGATGTTGACTTACTTTTTCCTCCGTATTCCATTATTATCGCGTTCTGAAAAGGAAGAAAGAAGGAAGAGCAGGTAGAGAAAAACTGATTTCAAAAACTAAAAAAATAATAAAAAAAAAAATAAAAATAAATGAATAAGAACGGGACTTGAGGAGTAAGTCAACATCGAGAAACTTTTTAACCTGATAAAAACGACTTGATAAACTTGAAGTTCCTAACGGAAGTTCGTTTCTGTCTGTTTCAGTTGACACAAGTAAAGTCGAAGCCAAGCGTTCGATTTGACCCAAGACTATCCCAACTCCGAAGCCCGGGGCATCCGACTGAACGCACCAAGTGACAAACGCACCATGCGGGACCCGAAGAGCGATCACTCGCGGGCCTAGTTTCCTGATCTGCCTGGAGAGGGCAGCACTGATCGGCCCTCCCTCGGGGTCACCCCTTTCGAGCGCCCTCGAGGCCCTCGACGCCCCGACTCGACCCTACTCTATGCAGGCGTGAGCCTGCCCATTCTCCTCGAGATTTTACCGACCTCAGACACCACGATCTCGGCACCGCTAGACCTCCGCTCCTCCTTGGAGGGCGACGACATGTCGACGGACATCCAGCAAGCGGTGCTGCTCCAGCGGCCGGTGTTCAAGATGAACCCGGCCGCCGACTACTGGCACCAGGCGCGGGGGCCGCCCACCACGGCGACGCCCCCCGCCGACGCCTCCAACAACAACAACTCGGCGACGAGCAACAACAACACGAGCACAACGACGACCAACACGAACACGAGTAGTCACAACGGGACGACGAATAATTCGGGTAACGGCAACAACTCCGGCAACGGGCAAAGTCGGCTCAACCACTTGATGAGCGCCGGGAGTCCTCTGGGCAACGCCATGTCACCCGGGGGTAACAACGCCGCCAACAACGCTATAGTTCCTTTCGTCTCCGTCAACACCGACACGACCTCCACGCCAGAACCGCTGCTGCCTTCCCCCGCAGGCTCCTCCGCCTCCGCCAACGACCCCAAGATCATCACCGAGAAAATTGTCAGCGAGTTCCAGGTGAGACCACTTTTCTATTCCTTTAAGTCCTTTCTACAGTAAATATTTTGGACAGTATTCGCACCCTCAGGAACATCCCCCCGGAGGATTCAGCGGCCAGAGTTGAGCATCTCAAGTCGCATTTTTCGACGGAAAAGTCGGGTTATTCTTAAATTAGGTTGCGATTTTTTACGACTTTTTGCCGATGAAATCGCTAGGGTTATCGACATATTTGAGCGAATATTTGAATCGCAACTTAAAGCAATCACTGCTACTTGGGATCTTGGCCGCGGCTGCCAAAATTCCAACTGCTGAGAGCCGAAACACAATTTTGATTTTCTGCAGTTTTACCGAAACGCAGAGGCCGAAACTGAGAACATTCAGCTCCGACCACCTGTCTTTTTTGGGTGCGGATGCTGTCAAAAAATTGTTCACCGTGCTCAGTTCTATTTTGGAGATGGCAACATTTGGCTTGCTGGAGGCAGCAACTGCATGAATACCCTGGGCAGCTAACCTGATGGACCGACTATGACAGTCAAAGAAACGAAGTTGATCTGAAAACAAGGAATTGGGTCTTCGAATCCCTGGAATAACTTTTTAAGATAATCATGCAGTTTATCCATTTTTCTGAATTGATTTTACCGATGGGAAGTCTGAGAAGGAATCAATTGCACTTTTGGTTTCTTTTTTCTAAATTGATTTCGTGATTTATTGTTTACAGTAAGGGGAGGGTGGTTAAGCTTTTGATATTTAAGAAGAAAAAAATATGATTTTCACCGTGGATATGAATTTTTCGGGCAGGTATAAGGAAATAATGTTTCTGTAGTTTACAATTTTTTTACAAAAAAATGTTGAACAGGCAGACATCTTATATTCCGAAGAACTTCATTCCTTCCCGGTAGATTTGAACTGAATGTGACCGTTTACAGGGAAAGGGACCTTAATCTGAGGAAGCAATTTTCAGTGGAGCCATTTCTATCAAGAGTGGTCGAAAAATGGAGTCCTCAGATTTTGACTAAAAACTAAGCTTAATGTTCTAAAGAATAAATTTCAAGCCGTTATAGTCGGCGTGAATTTGCATCATTAGTCGGTGATTCCGAACTCTGAACAAGTTAGAAAATGATTTTAACTCGCTTTTTTTCTTTTTCTCAAAACTAAGTTTTTGAACTGTGCATTTTAAACAGTCTTAACTCCAGTTCGACTAGATTTTGAGAATGAAGTCCGTAAATGTTTGTAGTAACATCTTCTACGCTCTTTTATCAATCATCAATTTTAGGTATTTTGTGAACTTACATCCCCTGTGGACGGTCATAATTCGTAAGGTGCCAGCAATTTTAGTTCTAATTTTTGGCAAAGGCAACAATTTGCTTCAACGGGACAAAAACTGCATTGAAACTTAACTATCAAAAACAGGTCAATTATAATTGGTCAGTTTAATTTTGTTCGGCATATAAAATGCTGTGAAGAAGTTTCCGAAGCTTGATATATAACTATAAAATCCGTTGTTTAGAGCTTGATTGGAGGTAAAGGTGCCTGAAATATCATGAACTATTCCTTTGAATCATGTTCCTCCCAGACAAAGACATCGATATCGTAAATTCTTATATAATCAACATAATTTTGATTAATTTTTTAGGGTGGGTCTTCCATTTTATAGAAAAAGGCGTACGCTCTGATCTAATTATAAAACTATGCTTTGTCTCTTACCTAGATTTTTTTTTCGCCCAAGCTGAAGTTGATCGAAACTATACATTCCTTCCTAAAGTGACTGGGATGTTAAACAAATCATTGATTATTACATGCACTCACCAAAAATTGACTGCACAGCTTAGATCAGTGTTTTTTAGTCACTTATCTCACAGTCGTGCGAATATACTTTGGCATACATGTTGTATGCCTCTGATATACTCGAAATGCAATTTTCGGCGTTTCAAGATGGTGATTTTTTATGCAGGCATCGTATGAAACATTCCCCTCATTCGAGTCGATATGTGCATTAAAAAAATGTTTGGCATATTTTAATTTTTTGCATACAATTTGTTTTACCGAGAAGAGTGAAAAATTACACGCGCACCATTGTACCATTGCCTGGTGGTTTTTCCCCCGTGCATTTCGCCATTTTCGAAATTTTGCCTCCCGCGGCTAGCAAAGAATCGCTTTCGAATCTACAGACATAAAGCTGTCTTACGAATAGTAAGATGTTTAATAGCTCAATTTTTCCGAAAATATTAATTATTAATTACCTATACGCGCCTGCAGCTCTAGGCCACCAATATTTCAAAGGCAACAAAACTTTGGTACTCCTATACTCGTTCGTTCTCTATTAACATAGTACCCCTAATCATTTTTTTTCAAATCATTGAGAGCCATCCGCATAGATTTCACCTGGAACATTTTTCTCAGTGTTATTGCGTGATTTTCACGAAAACTAATACAAAATTCGCCTACCGTCAAAAGCGCACGCGTGCCTATATCTGCCCTATCCCAAGATAAACGCAGTCAGAATCGTAACTTAGACGACCTCTGTCGTCAGAATCGTAACTTAGATGACCCCTGTCACTTTCCCGAGTTCCATATTTTTGAGCGAAGCTGAAAAACGTCCGGTAAGGGGGAGGGGAGCCATCGGGGGCCAAGAAGGGGGCCGAGGAACAGCATTCTTATCATATCGAGATCGATTTCCTGTGCACGGTGCATGTCAACATTCAAGATTGTCAGCGGGTCCCCCCCCCCCCATTCCTGCCCCCGTCCCTCTCCCTCCCCCACGTGAAAACTGCTCCGAAACCGAATCCCCGCTGCCGCCGAGTTGCCCCCTGGTTTAGAAGTTGTCAGATGGTGTCAATTGAGTCGAAGGGGGTTAAAAATAAGGGGGAGGGATTTAAATTGAAAAATCGGAGAAGAGAGAGCACATCTGTGAGGGGATTCAGGGGGTGTAATTTGCTCACCTGAGTGTCGTGGAATTAATAGTTGCTATGAGATATTGTGGGCCAATAGTTAAATCAGGCATTTTTTCTAAAGCTGAGGTAGATAAATAGTCGATAATTCTATCTAAATTATGAAATTATTTCTGAATTCTGACGAGAAAATGATCCAAATATAAAGAAAAGCTCTTAGATGCATGTTTGATTAATGCATGATCTACCATGATGAATGTTTACCCTAGATAAACAGTTCTTTTAAAATTTCTCACTGCTTCATAATATAATGCAACTTTTTCAACAATTTTACCATGTATCGATTTATTCTAATTGGTAGCACTGAAAGAGCTTGTGCCCTTGTTATTTGTCCGAGTCCAATCCGAGAAAATCCTAATGGTGACGTCACAACTAGTAGCGTCTATAACGTGTTAGCACGCTCTCAAAACCAGAGCAGAAACCCCATGCAGCGGAAATCTCTTACATTCGTGGGAACGAGAATTCCTTCGGGAACCCCCGCGACTGAATCCAAAAACTTAGAAAAATACCGGCAAGTACTTACTGACACACGGAAATTGCGCTTAAAAAAGCCACTAGGAGAATTCCCGGGAACCTCTCCGTACCCGGCAATTGATTTTCCCAGGATCTTTCCCGTTCCCGGCACTTGACTTTCCCAGGATCTTTTCCGTTCCCGGCAGTTGACTCTCCCGGGAAACTTTGAAGGGATCAAAGTTTCCCCAAAGACCAGGGCGATTTTCAGTGTTTCATTCAATATCTAACATCATACTGCAACCCCCGAAGCCTTCAATTCAGTTAAAGGGGCCATATTTGTACATGGAGAGGTGGCAACCCCGCCTAAGCAGTCTCGATCTGATTTCTATCAGGAATACACCGATGCATAGGATACACGCGCCATAACTTCAGCGCAGCGTTGTCAGGTCGTCCGATTTACTCGAATATCCATCGTGGAAATCGGCTCAACTCCCGAAGATCCGGCAACAAGGCATGGGTCGCCTCCGACACGCGCCTTTTAGTATAATTAAACCTGAAAAATATGTGCATTTTGAGGCTGCAATCCCACCTATGCAAGGGCGTTCGCGCCCGTGTCAACCGTAACTCAGCGCCTGCTTTATTTCGCCTGTTTATATTAATATTTATATTTATATTACTGCGCAATTTCGCCGTGCGGGGCGGGAACCACCCATCGTCCGCCGCGAACAAGGCGGGGTTGCGCGGTTTTGTCATAGGCGGGATTGTCATAGGCGGTTCTGGGCTCTGAGACGCTGGGCTGAGAATGGCCGATAAAGTAAGTGCCGTTTCAATGGGACTTGCACTCCCTGCCTCTCGAGTCTCCTTGTCAAAGGAACATTTTGCGCTTGTAGAATAATTGGAGGAAGTCGGATTTTTCCCCTGTCGCCGGTGATCGACCGCTCATAGAAACTCGACGGGACAAGGGTGTTGGTGTGTAAGTCGGGTGGTTTTATAGGTGGTTGTCCCACTCAGTATTCCGCTGACGGACGGACCTCGGTGTAATCGCTTAGGAGGGATACAGAGACTTCATTTCAGATACATCTCGGGCGGGAAGGGCTTGCGCCAGCGGAGAAAACGTGAAATTGATGGATATTTTTAAAGTTTTTCGAAATTGGCCAAAGATTTTTTTAAAAAATTGAAAATTTTAAGCCTTTAATCTAACGTCTCCCCCCTTCTTAGTTTAATAGTCCGTGAACATGATCAAAGACACATAATGTTTGATTATAACTATCGGATAAGACGCATAAGAGAATCTCTGAGGCTGTGAGTTCCTTGCCACGTTTCAAGGAAAAACTATTGATGGTAATGAAGAAAGAAGTGTTTTTTGGATTACAACGAATCTGTTTTGTCAGATTTAGTTCTTTTGCGAGGAAGAGGTCATTCTTATTTTATAAAATTCCATGTGTCTTTCATAACATAACTAGAAACATTCTTGAAAAATTATAAACGAAATTAGTTCCTTCAGAAAATTAAATTAAAATCAAAACTTTTGAGACACCGCAATAAAAGGGATGTGCTTTTTTTTGTTTTTCCCATCAGTATGTACACTGGAAAAAAACACATTGGATCTAGAGTCCAGACTCTTAAAAACATCGACAAGAAAAAATACTCTTGATTCAATCAGATTTAAGCTTAAATCAAGAACCATACCTCTCAATTTGAGTGGAATTCCCTTTGATTTAAGCTTAAATCTGATTGAATCAAGAGTCCTTTTTCTTGTCAATGTTTTCAAGAGTCTGGACTCTAGATACAATGTGTTTTCTTCCAGTGTACGCTTGCAAAATTTCAAAAATTGCTACACATGTTTAAACAATTTTATAAATTTCCATAATGTGAACTTTGAGATCCATCCATGCTAACGCCAGCTCAACGATATCACCAAGATTTTCCCCGCTGCTCGTAGGCATGGGCGTAGGCGTACGGCTCGCGCGACGTCCAACAATGCCACTCGCCGCGGGGGTCTTACAGAAAAAAAGCTCAGGCAGCTTTCATATTTTATTTTATCCTGTTTATTTTATTTATCTCGCGAGCACCGGGAAAACTTTCGCCATTTTCCCGAGGCTCACGGTAGGGGGGAGTAAATCCCGGCAGATGGACGGAGCTTTATTATTCGCGGGTCGTCGCGTCCAGGGGGGGAGCGCCTCCCCCCGCCCGGCCCGAAAGTAGGCGGACAAACAGAAGTCACGATAGGAGGCGAGTCCGAAAAAAAGTCCGAGGCGGTCAAATGTGTGTTGATTGGTTATCACATGCGCGGACGTGTGAACGTGTGTGAATGTGTGTGCGAGTAGATCGGCAACCTGCTCGACTGCAACCTTAAGACATGCGTGTTGGCAGCTCTCCTCCCCCCCCCCCCCGNGACCGCCGCACCGCCCCCCTCCTGCCCCCCGTTCTGGGGAGCTTAACCAACCGCCGACCGTCGAGCGAGCTTTTTTTTCAGTCGCTCCCCGAACCCGGCCCTGACTGCAGGCGCGTAAAAAAAGCTCTCGGGGAGTGACGGCGTGTTCGAAGGCGTGTAAAACGAAGGCACGTTCAGGAGGCTCTCAGCCTGTACAAGAGACGACCATCTCAAATTTTTGGAGATGGCACAGATTTATTTAAAAAATATGTTTTTCCTCTTTTCTCGACTTGGAAGAGGACAGATGAATGCTAAATGGAACTATGTCGACGGTGTACGTCGGCAATCACATAACTCGTTTACGGTGTTTGAAAATCACCGCATCCATGCTATTTTTTTAAAGGAGAACAAATGGCATCATTCCTTGAAGTTTTTGCAGAATTTTCTTCGCACAGAGAAGAAAAATCTCGGCAGTCTTAAAGAATTGCCGTCGAGTAGTTTTCCGTTTAAAAAAGGAAGTATGACAGGAAGTCTGCGAAGTCGCAAACCGCGTTATGTGATTGCCGATTTACACCGTCGATGTGTAAAAATGAGTGAAATCGGAAGAAAGAATGTGAATATGGCTTGCGTGTACCATAGTTCATTTTAATTTCCTAAATAGTTCCTTTTAACATACATGCGCCCCATTGAGGATGGGTATCTGCGATAGAGCATTGCGATGGGCACTTGGGCTTAAGTTTTTCGCACAGCGACAAAACCGATGAAGGATCTGAAACATCTATGCTCAGTTTGTTATACACTTCGTCCTCCAATATACTCGCAATAAGGTTGACCTATTCTCATCTTCAATATGGGAAGAGAATATCATTATTTTAACTGCTGCGAAAAAATTTATCACCCTCTTGCCCGGGAAATTCGGACAATTTTACACATTTTCAGAGGTTTTTTGAAGTTTTGCCATCCCAAGCAAATGTTGCCTCCTCCAATCAACGTCTGCCGTTCTAAGATTTGACTTAAGTGGCGCTTTCCTGCCGCGCTGAAGAAGAACACCGTATGAGCCTTCAGACATTGCCAAAAATCCCCTGATGAAATATTTATTTTTGAAGAAAGTTGAGCACATTTTCTCTTGAAATTCTCCGATTTTTCGGATTCAATTGCGAATAAAATTGTCTGAAAAATTGGAAGAAATGTATTTACCGTTTTTCCTGTAAATTTCGCTTTTTCTTTTGGGAAATATGTCAACGTCTATAGGCTCATACGGTGTTTTTCGTCACGGTAGTATTACTGGCACAGTTTAAACGCATGTAAAACTGCTGCCAAAATCTAAACATATGATGATTCACTTGCCTAATCTCATATATTATTCGTCTTTTTTAACCACTGTACTAGAGATTTAAACTCGTTCTAACCTACTTGCCTAATCTAATTTGTACATTGCCTTTCTCATGTTTTCATCTCATTATTCTGTGCTTGTTGCTTGATTAACTTTGACTAACTCTCTCTCTGTTTGCCTCTTTTCTTTTTCCTGCTGCCTTTGGATCGGACCAGAAACGCGCTAGCGCGAATCTAGACCCACGCGCATTCGAAGAGTGCTGGGCAAACCTTCAGCGAGTGAGTTGGCTTCTGTCCCGTTGTGTAGAGTATTCTTCCACCATTCTCATTTTCCCTTGATTGCCTTTTTCTTTTCAGCCTTTGCCGCGCTTTTGTCGTCGTCATTCGGTTCCGGCAAAAAACGGAAGAATGGGGCACGCCTCCGGAAAAAAGGGGGAAATCTTTGTCGTATTTATGGAGCAGTCGATACTCCGCTTCGACTTTGAGGAAAATACGAGCTACAATTTTATGTGGGGTGGTTTCAATCAATACGCAATTTTTGTGAACACCTACGGATCATGAGTTAAATTTTTATTGGAAAAAAGTGACTTGATGAAAGCATAAGTAACCTTGAACCTATATGGCATGAATTGATTTTGAATCTTGGATTCTCGGGACCCAAATCTCTCAATTTCCTGAAGCATACAAAAACATCTTGAACATGTCTTGTTTGTCATGACCCAATAACATTCCTATTAAAAAAAAAAAAAAAAAAAAAAAAAAAAAAAACATAAGGGGTGCTTCATCGGAAAAATCAAAAGTTCTTCAGGAAATTGACCTTGAAAAAGTTTGTATTTTCACTATTTTTAATTTTAATTTGTCCGTTGCTTTTAATGATTTTGAGCCAAAAGCACAAGAAAAAAATTCTATTGCTCAAAAATGTATTTCTTTGTCCTTAAAATATCGGAATGAAGTGTAGGAGTTTCTCTTTTAGCAGGAATAGTTGCGTTGCATAGTTTGCACGCTTATCGAATTATAACACGGAAAATCGAACCAATTAAAAAAAGAAATTCGAATTAGATTAACTTTAGACCAATAAAATTCAAAACAAAATTAATTGTTATTAAATCAAAACCGCACTTAATTATTACGAAAGGGTATGAAAGATACGAGTAGTTGATGAATAAACTAAATTAGTCGATAAACACAAAATCAGGAGCTTATCTTGAAATAATGACCGATAAAAAGTACGTAGAATACTCAGGTCCCCTGGAAGCCTCAGCGAGAGCCTTTGTTTTCAAAGGCAAGGAAGGCTGAAAGTTGCAAGAGGTTCATAAAAATGCCGAGAGATGGCGCCAGCAGCATCTAATTGACTTTGATTCACCCTACCCTACCGACGCCCTGGTGGTCACGAGCCGAACTTTTATTGAGTAAAAGATTAAAACACAGAGTTGAGGCCCTTGCATAATTCTTGCCTATACGGTTCTTGGATTGCGAGTTGTTTGGGAGAACTTTCTCACTGCTTCTTGTGCATGCCAATCAGAAAACAATTAGAAAATAGTCATGTAGAGTCCTTCTTTTTAACATGTTCTTGTCCATTATTCAATAATAATTTATCATTACTTTTTTATTTTCACCTTCATATGCTCACAATACATTTTTCTCGGTTCTTTCTCTCGTCACAATAAAGAGGAGTAAATACATTAAATGAATGAACGAAATAAATTTACTTTAGAGCACCGTATTCATTATGGCTCTTTGGAGGAATAATGCATGCTACAGCTAGTTTTGTCTGAAACTATATACATCATTTTATGCGCAATTACGGCTTTCTCGTGTCTTTTTTCATAAGAATACGACGATCTTGCTGATTTAGCTATTTCTGTGATTTCATTCGGAAGAGATAAGACGAATTTTGAAACAAACTCGATTACGAAAATTCGAGGATTACAGCTCTCTTCGTTATCACGACAGTATTCATAGGCGGATTCAGCAATTCGGCGACATCGGATCTCCTCCATCTAAACCTATGTTAAATAATCGATTCTTGTCGGAACACCTTGCCCCTCCGGAAATCGATACATTTCCATAGGTTTAAACGGAGAAGAATAAATGTTGCCAATTTGCTGGATCCGGCAGTGGCAGCATTCATGTATCAGAATGCTTAAATTCGTACTTTGTCCACTGGTCCATTCCCTATCGCATATCTTCAAAGGTAAATCCGCGACGTTTAACACTCTTCCAACTAGGAACACTGCCGTGCTAAGGAAAAACGCCGTATAAACCTTCAGGCGTTGCCAAGTTTCCTCCGATAAAAACCGAATTTACCGGGAAAATTGCGAATATTATTTTCCAAAATTTTCAGACACTTTTGTACTCAATTTAGTCTAAAATATCTGAAAATTTTAAGGAAAAATATGCATGAATGTTTTGGAAAATACATATTTTATCAAGGGAAATTCGGCAACTCTCGAATGTTCATATGGCGTTTTCCCTTAGCACGGCAGAACACTGAGCAGGAGATGCCCCAGAAGATCTCCCATCCCGGGGTGAGACGGGCGGAGGGGGACGGGGGAGGGTCGGAGGCGGAAAGAATCGGAATCTGAAAGAGGACGATTGGCCGTCATCAATAAGTTAGTTTATAGAATCTAAATAAGAGCGGTAAACCGGTTCGGGCCTTAAAGGGATCGCCGGATCGGGCGTTCGCGATCGGGCGGTCGGCTCGTCGGACGGTCGCGCTCCGCATTACCTCGTCTATTTGCATTCATTGTTAACCCCCAAACGGAGAGTCATTGCACCCCCCTTGTCCCCCCTCCTAGCCCCCGTGCTTGTCGGATGGCACTGGCGAATCGGAAAAAATCCACCGGAAGATCCGATTTTTTTCGCACGACCTCCCAACCGCGGCCCGATTGTATCGGTGCATCTTCGACCCATCGAGAACGCGATGTTGCCGCTCAAGACGGGAAAAGTTCGGCCAGTGCGTGCGGAAAAATGAACTTCGGTTACACGACGAACCGAATAGATCAGTAGGTTCTTTTCGGTTCGGTAAACTGAGCCGAGCCCTAAGTTGAGGGAACTAACCGCTTTTGGCGGATCCAGCAAATCGGTATCATCGTTTTTCCTCCATTTAAACCCATGAAAATGTATCGATTCTTGAAGGGGCCTGGCCCTCCAACAAGAATCGATTATTTAACAAAGGTCAAAATGGAGGAAATCCGGTCTTGCCAAATTGCTGCCGACCGGTTCAGTCGACGTAACTGAAATTCAGTTCATTGAACCGAAATGAAGCATTTCCCCGGGAAACGAAGTTTTTCGGTGGGTAGAAGTCAATATTCAAAATTTTGCGTGGGACTAAGTGGAACGAAGAGTTCTTTCAATAAAATTTCAGGCGCTAAATCAACCAATTTTCTCAATACTTCATTTTTGCACTTATGCATGGCTCTCTTCGTATGGTATCCTTGTTGGTGTAAATTCTGTCGGAAATTAAGCCCAGTGGGGAGGCGAGAATGACCGATTATCGAAATTTCCCCATTTGAAGCTGTGAGAAAGAATCGATTATTAAGGTATTCGTTGCAAGCACCCTATCTATCGATATCTTTCCATAGGTTTAAATGGGGAAATTTCGATACATCGCAGAGCACACCACAAGACTAACAAGAGGCAAACGCGTTCAAATTTTTCACACCGGCGAAAAGGGAAGGCAAAAACAAAGCAGCAATACGAATGACATAAAAAAATCAGTCCTGTATCGAATTCAATGATACTGAAGATTGCTCTCGTATTTAGGGCCGCCCGCGGTTGTGTGAAAACTAGATGCTTAGCAAATACTCGTTTGTTCGGGACCAAACCCGCCCGAAAAAAACCGAATGTTAATTGTTACCGCGGGATGGAGATCCGTTCCGTATTTTGATACAGCAGTTCCGCTTTCCTGAAGGGATGTTTTTTTTCGTCATCCGCTCGACAAATACAGGTTCCAAGCGAGGGCTCCTTTAACTGCGGTTGAAACAAAAGCTCCGTAAAAAATAGTGCAGACAATTAGAGACAGGTATCTGGAGCGCACTGTTGCGACGTGGTGCAATGGTACGGCGAAATATATTCATTCTGACTTTTTTTATTTCTACGTAGTAGGCACTTTCTCAAAATTACAACAAAACTTGGTTTTCGGTTGCTCGCATGATGATAGAAAAAAATATTGAGCTTTTAACCGATTTCCTTTTTAATAACAGGTAAAATTAGGCCATGCTTAAGAAAACAGTGTGCAAGAGAATGTTTTCTTAAAAACTACCTTAACATGATGATAATTGCAGACGATTCGGTCATGACAATGCCTTCATCTGTGCACTTTATCATAATTTAGCAGAAATTATTAAGTAATAATTTTTTATAAAACAAGCGAATAATTATCAAATCTAAGCATCCTTCCTTCTCCGTTACTTCCTAAATTCTTTGTTGCCTTTTTCATCCACCTTTTTTCGGGTCAAGGGGGGGGGGGGGGGGG